ATATGAGACAAGACATAGGGATGGTGTCATGTAGCTTTGTGCATCTTTGCTGTGTAATGACCCCTTGTTTCTTCCTTTTTGGTGCTTCAAGCCATCCCTATATCCCCCTTTCATTTTGAAGAAATGATTTTTCCACTTGTGTAAGTATCACTCCCACTACTACATGCAGAAACGATGGTGCATAAACAAGACCTCCATATTATACAAAGAAGTTGGTCGTACTACCATAATTGACTACATGTGTACAAGCAGTAGACTCACGTACTACAAGAGCAAAATAGTATCTGAAGTCTGTGCTGTACAAACCAACAGACCATTTTGGAGCAAACCCACACAGGGTGGGTAAGGAATTGGCAAACACCTAACAGTCTATTCAGCTATATGGTATAATGTCCATGAATTAGGGTGCAAATACCTAACTGTCAATGACTTTCCATATTGTAGCTGGGTACAAAAATTTACAGCATTCCATGCATGCTTGGTTCCATCCAGAGGATGGTCTGGTATCTAGTATCTGATTCCTGGTTCTCAGAATCAACACAGCATAGTGTGAATTCTCTTTAGTGGTTATAGTGTTATCTGGTCAATTGAATATGTGTACTCAGGCAGAATATTTTCCATACTTTCTCATTCTTAATGTAATGTGTATCGTAATGTGTGGCATTTGTCTAATCAGCTGAATTTGGTTTTTGTCATTACCTTCTGCCGCCTCATTTTGATGCAGCTAGTGTCGGGGAAGTATATACGGCTGGTGGTTTGTTGGCCTTAGGAGGTCTGGGAGGAGGAGCACTGATAATAGACCAAGTCATACTGTGACTCATAAGATATTTTTCTCTATGCTGACACCTGTTTTAATTAAGTAATGCGTAGTCACATGCTTAAGTGTAGTGGTCAAAACTCAGTTGTAAAGGCTCACAAAAGTGCAGCTGTTTGCCATCAGATGGACAAGTGCATTAACTTGGAAGCTAGTTTCTTACTCGGCCCTAAGTGGAGGAGGTGGCACAGAGAGAGGGACATCCGCAGGAGCCAGAGGAGGTGGGGGAGAGGGAGGAATGTCCTTGGGGGTAAGGGGAGGAGGGAGGGAAGGAGGGATATCATCAGGAGATAGAGGAGGAGGTAGGGAGGGAGAGAGGTCCTGATCTTCATCTTGGACGGTGCCACGAGGAGGGATGGGGGGAGCTGGTTTAGTGAGTAGGGGTCGGAGTGTGTCCTCATCTTCCTCTATCACCACTGGGAGGACACCTAGCACCAGGTGAGGATAGGTTTGAAATATCTCCACATGAACTGACAGATAGAGCATCATATGCGGCCACGATAAAGGGGAATACCTAGGGAGAGCACATAGTTCAATAGCTGCCAACAAGCCAGTAATTTATAAATAATGTGTATGTCATAATGCCATTTAGCTACAATTTGTATACATGCATTTTTGGAGCAAGACAGAGTACATAGACCCCTGAATTCCAGTGGAAATGGGACTTCATGTGATGGATGCAATGGTAAACAATGAGATGGCTTATCAACTCAGATGAACGACATACTATCTCTAGTCACGTCCATGAGCTAGAAGTGGCTAACTGTTAGTCTCACCAGTGGTGTATGAGTCCAGTAGAGCAGTGGCCAAGTCAGCAAACCCAACTCCGTCGCAGACACCAGCCAGCTGGGTCCACGTCGTGTGATCAGGTATGAAGATCTGGTGCATCACCTCCGCAAATTCCTCTTTCGCATCCCCCTAGTAGTGAGCCAGTATCTTGAGGACAGAGAGTACGCGCACATGGTAGTATATACAATTTGACATACTCAAAAATTATCCTCATAAACAATGAACATATGGATGTACAGAGAACTGAAAGTACACCTAAAATAACTGAACCTCTTTCAGAGCGGCCTCTGCATCCCGGCAGCCTCGCCAACAGTCCACCAGTGAGGAGTCAACTGCTGGAGTTGTTGTATCGCCATGTCTATGGTGATTCTCTGGTCTGTGATAAGAGAAAGAACATCAACTGTGCATTGTACGCTAAATGCCATATGCGACAATAGTTGGTGTGTGTTCTGGCTATTATAGCAGGGGGAAAACCTAGACTGAACAGTGAACAAACACAAACGGTGCCTCACACATTTATCATAATAGTCCTTTTCAATAACTAAGTCACTGACCAAACTCACAAAGAGCCAAATGATAGAGCTCCATAAATATCAGGATCTCTCACTATTCTGCTGAGTTTGCATCTTGTAAGTATTAGTTATAAAGGAGGTATATATGTATGTGGCTGGTTTATTCCACCTGACGCCCAAGGGCGGAATAAACCGCAACATACCGACTAGCTATAATTGATTTATTGCCAATTAAGACACCGGAAGCAGTATTTACTACGGTAATGTGACGGCAGCGCACAGCATTCCTTTTGTGAAGCTACCTGTCGCCGTTACATGCATACTTCCTGCTTCCCATTCCTCCCGTTTCGGAGACGAGGCGTTCCCTTGCCCGTTCCCTATCACGCAGTCGGCGTTGAGAAAGCCGAGCCTCTGTCTGCTCAGGAGTCTCACGGGCACCACACGCGCTACACGACTACGGTGACAGCGGACGAAAAATCCGAACGACTAGGTTGGCACGCTGCCGCTCGCCAATTATACACCTGCACATCAGAGTCAGACACGCCCCTATATAACTATAGGCGAAAGCAAGGCGAGCGGGAGCGAGCGCACAATGACTGCATCTGCACGAGCCATCCTAGCCTATTTACAACTTGAACCTTAGAACCACGAAGATTGGAAAGAGGTATATACAGCCTCGGTCAGGTATCGAAGAGCGCAGCGAATGCCAGCGAATAGACGAGAGTTCTTTCGCTGGCTAGATTTCGCATGGATATGACAGTTAGGCAGCGTGTAAAAATAAGTGCGTTCCCTATCACACAAGCGACGCTGATAGCTACACAGACGAGCCTCTCTCGGCACAGCAGTCTCACGGGCACGACGTTCTCTTTCCCACTCTCTTCAACGACGAAGGGCATCTTCTCTGGACTGATCCATGACTGCGAGAGTACAGAGCTAGCTACACACGCGCATATTATGTACGCACATGTATACGCACGACATTTGACAGGCCAGAGAGGTTGGACGAATTCCAACACTAAATATCGTGGCCCTAGGCCCCAATTAACATGGCCTAGTTTTATAGCGCTAAATTTGGAAGATATCCTTGAAATCTCGCAGAGAGTTGTAAAAAGTATCAAAGAAAGGTAAGGCATGATAAGCTGAGTTACCACGCGTACGCTTTGAGTGCTGCGGAGCTTCTAGTACTCTTCGCTGTAACTCGCTAGGAACATGGGGTGGGGGTGGGGTTCCGCCGCTTTTCAGTGAATACTTCTGAAGCTACATCTATTCAACTACATAACGTGTTCGATCTTGGCTTGGCTTTGATTCAGCGACGCTGTTTGTATCAAACGTACATTCTCTACGGGAGGAGAGAATTGCTGATTCAGCAAAAATTGCATCACGTTACGCAATCGATGATGCGTTTCCATGCAACCTCCTCTGATGACGGCAGGCAGCATGTTACAATTAGCGCGTAATCCTGGAGCATGCGCAGTTGGACGACGTACCAAATAAAAACCGCGCCGTTCGTACCACTGAGTTAGCTCGCTCCCGTTCGCCAATTATACGCTCGTGCGCTTTTGCTATGGCTCCTTTCAAGCTTGTAATCGCGCTGCTGGCTGGAACTGCTTCTGGTAGCTAAGTTAAAAGAGTGTACCAACTGGAAGTGTTTCTTTCTTAAATTCTGCAGGTCACGTCTTCTTATTTCCTTCGAGCTCTGAAACTGTGAGCTGTGGCGAGGTGAAAACGATTTTATGTTACGCCGACAGGACCACCAAAGTAACCGTTGCCGCTCGACATCCGACTGTCTCATTCGGGAGTCATACATATCAGAGAAACAGTCCCCCCTTGGCGAAAGTAGGGCCAGTAGAGCTGAATCTGACCGACGTTGGTGTTAGTCCACTGAAGGATTCCCTCAGCAACTTCAACGTCACAGCTTCTGAGAGGCACAATGGAAACATTATAATAACTTGCGCAGACGTGTATAACTCGTCTGAAGTCCAGATTATGACATTTAGTAAGTCAGAGAGTTCACACAGCTGCTCTGACTTGGCATTTTTCACTAGGTAAAGGATGTGAGGGTCAGATTCGATTTGACGAAACTAGAAGGCGACTAGAGTGGGATGAGCCAACCTGCGAAGGATGGCGACAAGATGTTCTGTCGCATTACACTGCTACCATTCAGTATACCACAGAGATAATGAAAACGTACACAGACATAAAGGAAACGTTTATAGTCATTGCAGAGTCTTTTGTACAAGTATCTGTAAACATGACAAACAGCTGTGGGGAAAGAATCTACATTGGCTACCTAAACTATGGTAAAACTATTTCATTATTCCTTATCTGGCAGCTGCTATTTTTTAGTGTGGTCTACAGAGTCTATAAATGGCAATACAGTGAAGAACAATACGACAAAGGTCGTTGCCAATGGTAAGAATATTTCATTGATCAAGCAATACATCATCATATCATCATATCATCATGAAGCATGCTTTTGCTCTAATTCAAATTGTAGATGGATGTTCGGTAGCTGCAACTCGTGGTGTCTACTGGGGCTGCCTTTTATTTGCAGTTATTAAAAAGTTTCAAGTTTGAGGACTGAAGCTACTAAAGTGCAAACCGTCGGCGAATTGCGCATGCGCGATACTGCTAAATTGATGGGCTGGAATTTGTATGCGTTTACCCGTGGTCTCCCTCGCGGAGAGTCTGACACGGGCTAGCTACAGACTATAGTAGTAGATAGCATACGTGAGTCGATGCCATTCGTTGTGACTCCCTGAGCTCCCAAGGTACACAGAGCGAGCGGATAAGGTCGCGGTAAGCCCAGTACGATTTTCACGGCATATCTCTCGAACGCAGTCGTTTCAGGAAAATCGCCCTTTTTTTCAGGCTCTATTGTTCTTAAGCCGCTGGTATCGCTAATAGGCCGCATCGTAGCCTGTAGTGCCAGAATAAGCGTCGACACACACACAGACAGAACGACTACCGTAACCATCGCTGCGCATGCGTGCCGAGGGTTAACAATATGTAGTTGTCATGGAAATGATGCAATGCGCATGTGTACCAAGTTTCATCTCCATGCGTGCTACCTAGCGAGTTCGAGAAGTGAAGTAGTAATTTTTTAGAAAATTGCCTAAGGCTATTTATTGTTGTTCAAACATAGTGGTTGTGATGTTACATGCATGCATACCATGTTTCGTGGTACGGTTAGCGTGTTTGAGGAGTGAAGAAGTGATTATAAAGAAAAGTTCCTGAGGCTTTTTGTTGTTGTGGTTGTCATGGAAATGATGTAATACACATGCGCACCAAGTTTCACCTCCATCCGTCCTACCAGTTAGCAACTTTGACGAGTGAGGAAGTAGTTTAAAAGAAAACTGCCTGAGACTTTTCAAACAATTATGCGGTCATCATGGAAACATGTAATCGTCATGGAAATGATGTAAGAGGCATACATACGAAGTTTTATCTCTATGTGCACTACCATTGGAGAGTTTGAAAAGTGAAGAAGTAAATCTAAAGAAAAGTGCCTAAGGCTATTTGTTGTTATTTACAAACGTCTATTGTTGTGATTTTGCTGTTGGCTATTGAAATTATGTATACAAACTTTCGTTCACATAGCTCTTATCAATTGTGAGTTACACTGACACAGTAGTAGCCCATTATAATGTGTTGCCTTGGGCAATTTGGTTGTTACCCTCGGCGCGCATGCGCAGCGAGGGTTACTGTAGTTGGGTCTGTCTGTCTGTTACTCAACATCTCACCTCTCGAATGTCTGTTCGTCCCAGAAACGATACCATCTACCCAGCGGGCGATGAAAGTCAGAAAATATGTGGGGTTTTCTCTGAAAATGCTCCGTTGCAAAGCTAGAGCGCTTCCAGCATTGTATGGCATGCCCATTTTATCTCTGCGGATAATGCGCATGCGCTATATTTAGCACAGGCTTACCTCGACCGGGTCCGCTTGCTCTGTCTATCTTGAAGGCACAAGAAGTCACAACGAATGGCGTGTATCGACTCTCGCATGCTATCTACTACTGTAGCTAGCCCGTGTCGAGCTACTTCGCCGAGGGTTTGCACTTTCATTAACCCTCGGCGCGCATGCGCAGCGAGGGTTACCGTAGTTACCCTCGGCGCGCATGCGCAGTGTGGGTACTGTAATTACCCTCGGCGCGCATGCGCATCGAGGGTACTGTAGTTACCCTCGGCGCGCATGCGCAGCGAGGGTACAGTAGTTGGGTTTGTCTGTGTGTGTGTGTGTGTGTGTGTATGTCTGTTACGCTCGAATCGCAACTTCTCGAATGTCTGTTCGTCTCACAAACGATACGACCTACTTAGCGGGCAATGAAGGTCAGAATTTTCGAACGGTTTTCTCAGAAAATGCTCCGTTGCAAAGCTAGAGCGCTTCCACATTGTACGGCTAATACCGGTAGTCGCCATTTTATCGCTGGCGGGTAAGGCGCATGCGCTTATATTTTGAACAGGCTCGGGTCCGCTTGCTCTGCGTATCTTGAAGGCACGAGAAGTCACAACTAAGGGCGTGTATCGACTCCCACATTCTATCTACTACTGTAGCTAGCCCGTGTCAGACGCTACTAGCGGGAGACCACGAGTATACTTTAGTGCTTTTCATTGGGTCTGTTGTCTGTCTGTCTGTGTGTCTGTCTGTGTCTGTCTGTGGTGTGTTGTACCGTCTCTACTTCTCGAGTGTTCGTTCGTCTCACAAAGGATACCACCTACTGAACGGCAATGAAGGTCAGAAAATATGTGGGGTTTCTCTGAAAACTGCTCCGTTGCAGGGCTAGAGCGCGAAAAAGCCAATATGCAATAGGCAACGGACGGATGGCTTACCGCGGTCTGATCGATCCGCGTGCTCTGCGTACCTCGGAGGCACCAGAAGATGCAACGCAGGGCGTGTATCGCCTCTCGCATGCTATCTAGTAGTGCAGTTAGCCGCGTCAGACTCTGCGCGAGCTGGCAAGAGGACCACGAGTAACAGCTAAAACTAAACCCAGCCCATCAATTAGTGGTACATTTACTTACGCGTGGCGTCACAATGCGCCGAGGGTTTGCACTTCAGTGCTTTTCATTGGGTTTGTCTGTGTGTGTGTCTGGCTTTACTCTCAATCTCACTTCTTGAAAGTCTGTTCG